ATAAATCCAGGCGGACAGAATTATGTATGGGTATCTCTGCAGATTAGGTTCATGTTCCCTCAGAGATAATCATAATCAGATAACCATCTTTGAATGCGTTTCATGAAATATTCATGACCCTTAAGCTTTTTCATAATTTCTCGCACATTTTTATTGTGATTTTATGGGCTAGATCAGCCAAAAATGTAACATATCTGTATAGGGGATGTGGGGGAGTGTATCACTTGCAAGATCTGGATTGCAATTTTTTCTACCCAAAGCCTGATGCAAACTCCTCTAGAACTTCCGCCTTGATCTGTTTTTTGTGTACTTTAGTCTTTATGGTTCGGCTTGGTAAACCAGCATGGTCTTAAAAATTAGAAGCATTTAAAATATGCAGACTGTTTTGTTGTTGTTTTTTCTCAATGCATTTTGTTGCATTCGATTTAGGGGTAGCAGAAAAAAGAGCCTAGATCACACTACCACCATTACTATTTCTAAACATATGTTCTTTCATCCATAGTTGGCCTATGCGTTATTTTGTGCAGCTCTATCTTAAAAAAAGTCTGATTAAAACCCATATATGCGTTCGTCTGAACACCTGCTCAAAAAAGCAACTTGTTAGCTGCATGCATCAAAGTGGCGCACAGAAACAACCCGCTGCACTGAGGGCGCAGACATAATAACCATAACTGGCTTTTGCTACGTGACACACAAAGACTCAGAGGGAATGACGTAATATCACATCAGCCCACATCTGTGGATGTTGGACTCTGTACAACTGAAGGTCATTCATCGATTGAATCAAAAAATCAAATCGATTCTGTAATGAACTCCTGTGGTGGCAGCATGCTCCTTGCAGGATCGAGGCTATCCCGTCTGTCATACATGAACACAGATCCGCACGTGCTTTGCAGCTCCAACTCACTGAATGGAGAACAGCGCGGGATGGATAAAAAATGGAGAGATGTTGCTTCTTTCCATGCGTTTTTTTGCGAGGCGTACTCTCTGCCCGCAGAAACAAATTTGCATTAAATTGAACATTAAAGCCTTTAGATGGATTTGACTCATCCATCATCGTCGCTGCTTCTGCAAATTTACAACCTCTGCAGTCCCTTTCTGTGCTCAGCTGATCAGCGTCGATTGGGGTGATATTAATTGACAGTTAATTGGACTGGAGGATAAAGGTAAAGGTATTTTCTTGGTGATAATGCAAAGAGGTTACTGCAAGTCCCCGCTTTGCCTCTGCATGACTTTGGTTATACAATGATGCCTCATTCAGAACAACAAGGCAAGCATCCCCCCCTCTCTCTCATTCCGACTAGGTAGTGCAAAGGTTTAGCGGGCATCTACGTGTTTATATTATAGATGCATGCAGGATATATTGCTGGGAAATAAAAGGCACTTGAGTCTTAAGCCCCGGGGCAACAGACGGGGCAAAGCGCACGGATCCTCTCTGCGCATTGGAAGGCAGGCTGGCTGAACCCCCGGATAGCGCAGTGGTCATTCATCAAATCATCCAACTGTCATACCTGCCTGATTGATCAAGCATGCGGGAGGAAAAATGCTTAAAGAGAGGTGAAATCAAAATCAATAACAGGTGGACACCTTTTAGGGTCACTCACCTAACTTTTGCTGCCACAGAAGATATCGCATCGTTTCTTAGATTCTTCCTTTTGGACGCGGCAGTTCCCATGCTGACATGGAAACGACGCAGATGGGGAAAGCGGTCATTCCCAACGCTTGGAGGAATGCGACAAGGAAGAGATAATCGTGAGAAGAAAAAAAAAACTAAAAATAAAAAAGAGAAGGAAAAGTTGGAGTAAAATCCAGGAGCTGGTGGGTTTTAGACGCGCCTCTGCAGAGCGGAGAGGAGAAGGACGGTCTGCTGCTTCTGCGCGTCTCTCTGGATCTGAGCACGTACGTGGGGTAGCTCAACAGCTGTGGCTGAAAATCCACACACAGACACCCCTCTCTGCTCCTCCACTCTCTCTCTTTCATTGATCCAGAATCCAGTCAGAGGATTGTAGGTTTTTTGGCGATACCAGCATCACTCCTCAAAGAGAAGTGTGTGCCACGGCGGGACTAGGTGAATGTGGGGTGCCATTCTCCTAGTCACAGCTTGGGGAATCATCTCTGTTATCTGAAGCCCATAATAAATTTATTTAGGATGTTATGTAATCGGTCATTTGGGTTAAAGCCCGCCACCCCTCCCCATCTGACACACGTTGAAATGGACTCTAATGAAGAGTCAGAGAACAGAGGGAGCAAAGCAGAGCTCTTTCAGCATCAAAACTACTTTGATTTTATTTATTTGTTTTTGATTTAATCTATAACCAACATTATATGGTGATTGAAAAATAACAATAAAATTAACTTCCCATGAAGCATTTCATTACAATTGTGACAGATGATAATAGGAATTTGTAATGTAGTTTATTGACAAAGCAACAATGTAATCAAGGCTCTTAACATGATTATTCATATCCATATGGAGATAAGCAACGCACTAAAATAGAATCATAGAGTGTGAATCTAATTCAGATGCACGTGACATTCACTTCTAGTGATTACAAACTAAATTTAGACTCAGTACCAAAGAGTTATAGGATGCCCAGAAAAGTGATCTGCTACTACTACTACTATTACTATTACTGTTACTGTTGCTACTAATACTACTATGGCACCTACTACTGCTATTACTTCTACTATATAAAAATGATAATAAAAAATTTGGTTCTAATAATAAGAAGGAAAATAAAAAAACATAAACAGTTTTGTGTGTTTTACATAGCAGATTGAACCAAATTAAAAACACCAAAGGTTTTACACAATCAGTTACTTCATTTTTAGTTGTCTTGACATTTTTTTGTATATGTATAATTTGTGAGATGCAACTTCTTAATTTGGTAAAATCCTGTTTAAATTAATCAGTGTATTATATGTGTACCTGTTGCACAGCCTTATTCGGGTGTTATTCTGAAATTTACTGTAGGCTGACATCTTCAGAGACAAATGAAAAAGATCCACGTAACAGATCCAGCTAAAATGAAATATTTATAACTTCATTTGGAAGCATATACGTGTAGGATTATATATAACAAGTTGCTTGGGTATAAAATCTTAACGAGACAAATAACTAATTCTAATTATATATTTTTATATTCCTCCAATTCAATTAATTTTACTTCCATTAAACATTCGTTTGTAAGGTTCCCACTCTGGCCAAAAAAGCAAATATTTAAATGGTTAAATATCAACATAACATCAAATGAAACCTTGCAAATGATGATACTAAATTTGGGGGTTTTAGTCGAAAGAGACCTGAAATTGGAGACTGATGCTGTTTCAACAGACCCCAGCAAAGGTTGCATTCGTGCAGAAAGAGCCCCCGTAAACCTTTTTTTCTTTTACTGTCATTTAGGAACTTAGCACCAAATAACTGAAACCCTTTGTTTTTTTCCAGTTGGCAACCACGAATTTGGACTGAGAGGAAAGGAACTGGAATATGAATATTTCAAAAAAAAAAAAATTATATTACCTTTTATGCATCATCAAGTACAAAATAAACCTTTCTATGCTTCAGGTCAGAAAAAACATCCACTGAGGAATATAAATACAAAACAGTTAATTCTACTCTATATTGAGAATTTCCCATGATTTGCATAAAGCTATGATCTGCACCTTTTTTTGTACTCTGAAAAATCCTTTCCAGCAATGTCTAATAAGTGATTATTCACCAATTTAAAGAAATGTGTTGCTAAGGTCCCGTCAGGATTACAGACTTAAAAGAAATGTCTATTTTCACTGTAGATGCATGTTGTTGTTTTTTTCTTACAAGTAATGGCACACACATAGTAGGTCACGTAAGCAGATGGAAGAATGTGAATCTATTGAATCAGCCATTAGCCTTCAAACAGCAGATCAATCAGTTGTGCAATCCACAGGTCATTTCTCTTGTCTTCATGGTGTGTCCTTGTTCTGCACATACACCGGGACAGTCCCTCTCACACACCATAAGACAAAAGGAATGAAAATCAATAAATAAAGCAAAGCACCACTGGGTTGGTGTGAGCTGCTGTAGACCATTAGGCAGTAAATAATTCCAGGCAGCTCTGACGAGACTGAGGAAGAGTGTGCAGACTGTAGATGAGCACATCAGGAGAAGGTATAATTGTCTGGAAAATGCATTGCAGAAAATATTTCCTTCTTTCAAGAAAAGCCACAACAACAAACATGATAATAAATAAGTGAGCTTTCAAGCATCAATGTGCAACATGGTTTTTCGTAATACGACAACACATGGAGTGTGCTCAGTAATCTCACCGAAACCTGTAGGATTTAACCGTGAGAAACAGCGAAGTAAAACGTTCTAAAAAGGAAAAAAATAAAATAATGAAATGTGCAGGATGAGAAAAAGAAAACCTTTAGGCATAAATCCACATCTGCCCCAGGTATTAGTGTATCCACTGACCCTGAAACACACTGTCCATTTGATTTATGGCGAAACAAATCAATGTTTGACTCTGCAACACCAAAATGGTTTGAAGGGGCTACATTTACACTCCAATCCCAAATCAACATTTTCACATCGACAGAAAGAGTCTACTTAAAATAAAAGTGTTGTGAACCCACAGTGCATTAGATGTTATAACTAAGTGATTGATATTCAGTAAGTGAGGACTGTATTATCCGGGGTTTAAGTGAGTGTAGGCATGGGAGAACTCACCACTAGTCAATGAAGAGTTTCATAACAAGTGTTCAGTAAAATACTGTCGGCTTCTAGAGGGTGAGTCATGCTGAAATTGGTCATTACGAATGACATTCCCAAAGGGCAAAGTTTCATGGTCTACAGAGGAATTCCATTCCAAACACTGCAAAGATAGAGGGGTCTTAGAAATAGAATGAATTGCACATTTTAGTGCCAGAGCCAAGACTTGTAGAAGGCCCATCCATCCATCCATCCATCCATCCATCCATCCATCCATCCATCCATCCATCCATCCATCCATCCATCCATC